TGTTTTGTTTGCTGAGTGTGTTGTTAGCGGAGCCATTAATGTATCCGCCTTCAGCTAGTCTTCTCAGGCAATCATCTTCATATCGAATTCTGTCTTGGGAAGTTATAAAGAAGAAGCTCTATCAGCTCTGAAAGAAGGGATTCTCCGGTCAATCCTTCATGATAACTAGCTATTCAGCATGTAAATGGCATTACGAACGGTATACTTATAGGCACTTACATATAGGCAGTTTGCTATGGGTATACTTGTTCTACGAGAGAAGCCCCCCTCCATTCGACTGGGTATGTTAGCGGAGGCGTGAGAGGTAGAGGTGGTGGGTTGTGTCACTCCCTTTTAACCAGTTTTATGCCTGGTGGTGTTATTTTCGTCTCTACTATAACGACTCTATTTTGGTATCCTAGGAAAGCTAAACACATTGAATGGGTTGCCGAGGTGGAGTGGTTTGGAAAACACTTTTATTGGTAGTTTTGAAACTGACTAAAACTGATACTTTCGTCTCAAACTACCCTATGGTAAACGCCATCCCCAATCGAGTTCCCATATCGATACCTGGAAATTCGGCTCTCAGTTATTACTTCTTGCCTCCATTCTGAGATTAATGGCAGGTGCAAGCCAAAGCAATAGATTACTTGAACAGCTGTAGATTACTGCTGCCAATCTCCGCTGTTATATTCTGCTCTTTTTGCTTTTCTGAAAACACGGAGCTTAGCTTTTCAAATCTCTATGACCATTCGTGCTCTTGCCGAAGGTGACGAGTAGTTCTGTGATCCTCTGTGAGTGTCATCGAGGTTTTTCTGAAGGCGCGTATTAAGCGATTTGGATCTGTTGAGCGTTTTTTAGTTCATGACACGTTTCAGCTTCTGATCCACAGCCATTTTCTCGTAGCTTTTTCTTGCCATTAGACCTCATACACTAAGACCTCTGAATGCGTATTTTCTACTACACTTTTTGTGTCATATAGTAAACAACATTTTGTTGAATATCCCGCCTTTTGGGTAGAGGTGGTTTAATGCCTAGTTTCGCACTGTCATACAAGCATGGTCCGGGGTATCGGATTCCGGTTCGATACCCACTCTGGCCAACTGACCCTTTATCTCTACGCTTTCATTTTATTATTAGCTTCATGACTCCGTAACTAGACCCTTTTCCGACCTAATAGCGCCAGATAAGGTATACGAGGGGACCTCGAATTTATCCTAAGAGGAAATCTTAGAAACCATCTCTATCGTTAACCGTGCCTTTAAGCTGGCAACAAGGAGTTACGTCAAAATTTAGGATGAGGCCTAGCTTTACTTTTGCGACTGCTCATTTGAATAGTTAGTTATCAATTCCCGTTCACTTTCTCGGGTAGGGTTTCTCATTTTGTTTGGAACAATGATATGCTTCCCATTTTCGGGATATTGAATAGATATTTTTGCGCCGCCTTTCCTAATCAGTGTTCAAGAACACATCTTGAGCATTTTGTGGAATTCATACTGTATATTACCCTTCTGTGCACTTACGTTGTTTACATTTTCCAACTTTGTTGCCAAACTTTTCAGATACGCTGCAAAATCTTGCTAACTGTGAAACGAACAGCTTTGCCCTCCTATTCCAAAGTACAACGCAGGAACAGTTTTTGGTGTTGATCGACCCAGTTTTGGGATGTGCCCACGCATCTGACTCTGGCCATTTGAAATGGCAGTGGGATTTGAATGCGTATTTGTTGTAGGTGCTGCCTTTCAGCAGCCAGCCTATAGTTAAATGGGTGCCTATGTTCCCTACAGTTTTATGGCGCTAGTACTCTGAACCCTAAAGGGTGAAAGACCTAACAGACCTAAATCGGCATCACCTTCTACTGCTCTTACCCGGGATTGAAGCAGTAGGAAACGGGATACCCCATGGTACTCCTCACCCTCCGCGATAAGGAAAGAAAGAACTTTTGAATATTAGGGTAGGCACTGTAACATAAAGAGACTCGAATGTCACCGGGTTTAATTTTATAAAAGTCTTTGAAAATCTTGACGTAAGCCTACCGTATCAACATGGCTAGGCTATCCTTGCGTACGGCATTATCGCAATCAGGGAAGCTTGAGAATACGGAGATTCTGTGGAGGAGTAAATGGAGGAGATGAATCGTAATCTGCCGTTGAAAGAGTGGCGCGGATTAGGAGCCGTGGAGAAGGAATAAGAAGAGTCTCATAGATCTGAAGTGTAGCCATTTTTAGTCACGCGCTTGTCCAAGGCACGAGCTTTAGAATTCCAGTGGTAAATAAACACATAATATAATTTTGCTCAAAGTCGCCAACAAAGGTTTAGGCAGAATCGTGGGTCCAGTCCAATAGCCCAAAACGAATGCTTTTTAGGGATTCTTGCAACGGAAGTGGAGCTAGACGAGGTGTTGTGTTTTTTCTGAACTGTATGAAGAGTATTTGCGTTTCGTCTTACTAGTACTGGCCAAATTTTCGACTGTGGTAGTCACCAACCGGTCCTTGGAAAATTGTAATCGAGACTTAGATGGGAACTTCAATAGGAGGGTGATCCTCGTTCCTATTCGCCATCCACAGCTGGCACTGTTTTCGGAGTTCCACCGAAATCGCATTACAATTTTGAAAGTTTCCCAACAGTTTTTTACTTCAAAGTCGCTTTTAAGCTACTCGCCTTGAATTGTATAGGCTTATAGGCTCAAAGAACTGCTCTACCCTTTGGAAGTAGTCATAATAGTTGTTGGGTTGCTTTTTCTTGAAAACATTGGTTCTTTTTGAAAACACTCACTGCTCTTTTACTCACGTAGCAGGTCCTCTAGAATCTGAGATATTTCGCGGATTTACATTGCGTTTCTATTTCGACTATTTTTTATTATCTTATCTGCTTTTTTTTCTTCTCCCATTATCAGGCCATCGCTTTATAGAGATTCCAGGACTATTCTTGACATCCTGCACATTGTTTTGTCAACATTACCTGGCAATTAATCACATAGCAGTCGCTCATAATTTTTTTTTCGTTTTTTGTTATCACCATTGTTCTCTTTTGGTTCTGTTTACTATTTGATGTCGGGATTTTGTTGCAATATTATTTATTTCCAGCCTATTTTTTCAACGGAGCCGTGCAGTTTTGAATCTTATATCCATTTTGTTTTCTAGCTGCATATTTTCTATTCGTTCAGTATCACAAGGGTCCTTTCTTGGCCTTTTTTCACTGTGCAGTGATTCCAGATCTCAGCCCGGTCCAATGGTAGTAGGGACCTTAGCCGACCTGCTCAACACTCGGGAGGATGGGCTTCGCCTTCTACTTTGTGTCCTAGCAGGTCAGTTTCAATGATTTTTGAAGCTTATTCAGTGTATCAACATTGGATCTGCTCAGGCCGTTGAGAAAAATGATAAAATTGAAAAAATGTAGCTTTATTTTTTCTCTAGAAGATACTTGTACACATGTTTTCTTTGCAATGACTTTCAGCTCTTGCGGATTACTTTTGTTTTCCATCTGGCAAAAACAAGCCGAGTTGCAGGTTGTTCACTCGGTAAACATCCTTGGCTTCAAGTAGCGATTAGTTTTCTTTTGTTTACTCTCCCTGCAGAGCACAGCTTTCTCCTGAAACCTTTATTGTTGTTTGGCTTTTTGCCTGAGGCACATTCAACACTTCTGTTTTGCGAATCAGGCAACCTAGATTATTACCCTGCAAGACCTATTAGATATACAAATGCAAAGGTATCAGCGATGGGACATCATCGAGTTTTACGAAGTAAATTAGTGCATGGGAAGGGGAGGGTAGACAGAGACATAGCCATGGAAAGGAAAAATGGAGATATTCATAACGAGCAAGTATTAGTGTTGCCAGTCAACTGCAATGTTGCGCCATGCTCTGGAATTTGGTTCATTATTTCGTTTCATTCGTTAAAAAAGCCAGCATTGTTATTAGATTACAGTGTGACCCACATGAAGTGTGACGGGCAATAAAAAAACCAACTTATGGGCTTCTGGGCTGGAGGATGCGGCGATCCCTTGGGCGGAAAGGAACGCGATGAACGTCAGCTGAACCTTTCCCAGGATTGGGCACCAGCCCACAGCGCAAAGAAGATGCTGCATTGTTGTAAAACCCCGCTTCCAGGTTTTTGNTGAAAGTGACTGCGCGCATTCTTGAGAACTTCCGAAAGAGGTTGGATGCTTGCATTAAAACGAAATATGGTCATTCTGCATGCGAGATGGGATATGTTGTTTACAATTTTGTGATATGTATAGGAGTAAATGTTTCCTATTTGGTTTGATTTGCATCAATTTTGGTGCTAGTTTTCTGCGTCAAACTTTATGTGGGTCCTGTAGACTTGCAGAATTAGGGTCAAAACAGAACTTTGTTAAAACTTTCTTCAAGCATATCGAATAATATCCAATTATACCCATTATCCCGTTAATTTGTTATACGCAAATAAACAAATATCCACGTGCACAATACATAGCTTGCGAAACTAATTAAATGGCAGTTCTGACTAATCTTAATTCCTTATCACAAAAAAACTTACTAACAAACATGGCAGTAAAATAAGTCAGGATGAGATCTGAAAAAGACTATTGGAAAAACCGTCTTGATATTATGTTCCCATATTCGCGAGCGTTTCCATATTTCTATAAAACGGCTTTTAATCAGAAAAGTGGTTTCACGAGGGGTAGCCATTGGTAATCGGGGCCATTTGGAACGAATCTGAAGAACAAGCACGATGCGTAAAAATTTTATTTTTGGTTGAAGCCTTTTTTTCATGCGTTTTGCGACGCTTCGTGGCACTATCATGCGAGGGAATGGGCCTTCTTTTGTTCATTAGTACAGGACTAAGCTAAGTGACCAGTGCTATTATTGACGAAAGCCTGTATGGATCAGTCCTTAAATCTTATGGCTCCTCCCATATTGTGCAAGTAAATTAGGGTGAAATATTGGCATGAATTTTAGTAAGTCATCTAGCCGCTATCAATAAATGAAGGTTGTGAAGGTTGTCAGTTTTTCGTAAAGTTACTGCTAATGCCCTTTCAAGGTTCCACGCAGAAAAAAATTAGTTGAAATAATGAAATATAATTCATTTCCAGGATATCCATTGGCTGTAATACATCGAACATTCATCTACAATAAGCCGGCAAATGTTCAATATGCATTTTTTGTGGTAGTAGGAGCCCTTCTATATATCTTCAACAGTGGTAGGGTTTTCAGTTTCAGTACTTGATTTCTACAAGAACTGGTTAGAATACTATTTTAAGCATCATTTTTTAGGATACGACTCCATCCACGCTTTCATTGCGGTGTTTGTGGCGTATGCCATAACGAATTTCATCGGTGGCACTATAGAATCGGTGATTGCCGCTCACGTTTTCTTTCTGGTAAGTCTTCGATACAACCCTTGTTAACGTCATTTCAACGGGATGAATTGAAGCCCCTAACACAGAGTTCTTCTCTCCATCCTGACGAGGTTGTTTCCTTCCCCTAACAATCATGTTTGTCTGTCTGCCTGCCTCTTTGTTCGTGCATCACGTTCATACTTCGGAATTTCCTGAAGGGCAACCTGAAATGGCTTTTCTAAGTTCTCGTGACGTTTCATAGCTACGTGATGTGGTGCTCCACATCACGTAGGTTGAAACGGTCAGGAGAACTTGGAAAACAAGAACACTTGGGCTGAGAGAAGCAACCTTCAAGAGGCAGGCCATAGGCCAGCCAAGACATTTGCAAAGTACATACAGTTAGAAAGCGACTTTGTCAAAAGATGATGGTCTGCACTGGAATATGCTGTCAATGGCACCTAGTTGTAGTAGTGGGTGCCCCTAAATGGGTGCAATTTGGAGAAATTGTCTTGCATAACAAAAGCACAAAGCCTAACGCAGAAAAACATTCTGAGCGAGCGTCGGGACGGGGAGAAATCTTCGGAAGAGCAAGACCTGCGTGCATTTCGATACCCTGGGAATGTGGGTAAAAAATCGTTCCACAGTGGTCAAGCTATGCCTTGAAGTTGGCTGCTGCTTCGAATGAGATCCTGTCTGAGGTATGCCCATTTCGAAAAAATCAGTTTGGTTCTATAACATGTGGGACTGGAAGGATTTTGGGGCGCAACAAGCGATTGGAGGGGTGGAAGGGAGCAAATTGGGTGTGGGATCCTGTACCGGCATAGCGTGCTGTGTTCGTTGCACTTATTGCGTGTCAGTACGGGGTTGCAGTGAATTTAGCACCGCGAACGTACTTGTGTTCATGCACATAAGAGGTACAAAGTCCGTCGCAAGGGGCAAGATGTCTGTGGTTTATGAGGCAGCCATCAAGGTCGGTGGGGTGATTGCAAAGTATCAACAAGTCTTGGAAAGCTAAACTGAAAGTTAATCGGTTTCGGGAAGTGGCCACAAACGTTCAATGTGAAATTGAACAAAGTCAGTCGACTCAGTTGAAATTTCACGTGTATTGCCTGTCGTTTAACGGAGGGTTTATAGTTACACGCGCGTTGTGGTGCCGTTGGAGGACTACTTGGAGTGTTCCAACATGCCACCTCTAGGTTTCAGGCGCGTTTTCGTCAAAGCATACTCGGATGGGCATCTTGTTTTGGCCTAGGTCCTCTTATGTTCTTCACATAACTGTTTTTTTACAACTGTAACTAATTGGGTGATCTACCTTTAATGGCAACTTCTGTGATTACATGAGCGCTGTCAGTCTTGTTCAGGGCTAGGAAATATGTACAGCTGGTAGGAGAGAACGAGGCAACTTGGACCTAGAAACCTCCAGCGAGAAAAGCGAGACTCCTTTCGGGAACGGTTTTTTATTTTTTTATGGGAAATGCCAATTAGAATTACTGCACTGCTAGAACAGGTAGGGGTTTCTGTTGAACAAATGCGTCTCGGGGAGAAGACCCTGGAAGCCTTTTCTATGTTAGTTAATGTACACATTCTGGTTCGGGATTGTTTTCCTGATGCACGTAACTTCATGAAACTACGAAGTAGCACCTACAAGGCTATCGTTCTTACCAATTTATTCGACTTTCCAGGATTTACTGCCAGAATACTTGTATTTAAGGGATACCTGCTCGTTGGCTACTGGTACGTGGAATCAGAAGCATATGACATTACTTGGACGACACCGTACTGTATCATGACCCTACGATTTACTGGGCTAGTTATGGATGTTTACGATGGAGCGCATTTTGTTGGTTATTTTAGGTGTATTTGCTAGTTTTCTTCCATTTCTTTACTGTTTTTTTTCATAATCGGTGCCGATGTATAATTTTTCTAATGCTTGCAAATTTTTCTCTGCTTGAGCTCCATCATTGTACATTACTTTTGCTTTGAATGCGGCTATTTTCAGAGCAAGCTGAAACCAGATCAAAAGAAGACTGCAATTTTGAACCCACCGAGCCTCTTGGAAACTGCCGCCTATGGTCTCTTCTACACCGGAACCATCGCTGGACCTCAGTTTACGCTCGCAAAGTTTCGAGCCTATGTGAATGGGGACTGGCTAGATGAGAACGGTCAACCGAGAGAATCAGCGTGAGTTTTTTGGGTATTCCACTTTTCCGCTGATAAGTGGTACTCTTTCACCCTCGCATGAACCGGGGATTGAAACATGTGCGTAAACTTGCCTAGCTCGAGCAAATCATCCGTTTCCCCGGGGTCGGTTCAGTGGTAAACTACTCGTATGGGATGTAAAGGCTCGAAATTTTACATTGGCCGGCCAGCTCAAGTCATTGCATTGGCCATTGGCCACGCTTCGAAAACGCTCCAACGATCCGAATTCACAAATCCCAACCATAATTCTGGTATACGATATGATGGAAAGATGATGAATTTTTGGCCAATCCCATTTGAAGGAGGTTTGTTCCATGGCTGGAGCGGGAAGTGATTTGATATCAGCGTACCAGTTCGGCACGATCGATTCTAGACAAAAGCCTCATATATGATACAGTTCGATATTTCCATGAGTGCTCTCAACAATCTCAAAAACTCGGTCAGAATTGTTAAAAACGTTTAGTCTGATGCCGTCGTTGGGACGTTTCATTGCTGGCTGCACTTATATGGTACTGAATCAATGGGGTCATGTATGGATTCCGGACACATTCTTCAATTCGGAGAAGTTCTTTGTAAGTTATTCACTGTTCAGGTACCTGAAATGGTTCAAGAAATTGTTGGACACCAGTGTAGTGCATGTAGAAGTAATTTACGAGATACTAAAGCTATTGTATATAAATATGTTCGTGAAAGAAAAGGGATCATGTAAAGAGTTCCTGAGCATCTGCCCTCACCCATATTTTCAACTCAGAGGCGTCCTCGCATTGGTGCTGATATGGAGGCAATCTGTTACTTTCAAAAAGCATTTGGTCATGAGAAACTTATGAATGGATATTAAGAATCTCGACTGTAAAATGGTAAAAATCGCTGGTTCGCTTACTAAATTCAATTTCTTTAGAATATGTCTTTCTTCATGCGATGGACGTGGACGATGATATGGTTCAGGCTCACCATGTACCGTTACTGCGCTATTTGGCTGATAATTGTTAGTTTTCATCTGAACCATTAGTTCTCTTTGTCGATTATGGTCAAGGCTGACAACCAATCCGTTGATCCATATGGGAATCATGCCAAAAATGATAGCGAAAGAAGATCAGTCTTTCCGAGGCCTAGTGCTTTGCCAAAGGGTTTTTCGGGAAAAAGAAAAGTGTACAGGGATGTCCAGTTTAGAAAATAAGGGAAAAATGATTCTGTAGACTTTTATCAATAAAAGATGACCGTTGTCTATGTTAATTTGTCTCTCCACCAAAAAATCTTTCTGGCTCAGGTGACCAAGTTTGACAAGGTGAATTAAATAATTCAATGGCCTCGACAGGATTTGTCTTTGGCAACAACATCCAATTTTTCGCTTAGATTGAGCTACACCTTCACAATAAACTATAGCTTTTCAAAGGGTTCATTTATATTTCCACAATCAAAGTTAACAATAAAAAAATGGAGTGACCGAATAAAGGTTTTAAATATTGTTTTAAATACTTTGTCCTGGTGACGTAAGTACAGTGGCGCTGGAGTTGTGGGCGAGTATCGAAGTCTTCATAAGCATGGAGCTCATATCTTTGAAAAAGTGTTTTAAAAAAACTCATTCAGTCACATTTCAACAGTAGTTTTGCTATTTAGGAAGGAGCTGCTATCCTGAATGGTCTCGGCTATAATGGCAAAGATGAAGAAGGGAGAGATCGGTATGTTTGCACCCGCTGCTCAGGATTTATTCAATTATTTACTGTTTGGTTTGATATTTCAACGGCATTCCGATTTGAGAAGGGGAATGAAAAGCACCGTAAAGTGGTGAAGAAAGGAAAAGGAAAGAGCTAAACATAGAAATGCGAAGGCCCCAGAAAAGCCAGTGAGAGACAGAGCACAACAACTGTTACATGTTGACCAGTTAATGTTTGAGGGTGGGGTGAATTCGACTTCAACGGTGCTACCCAAAGTGAGGACCACTAAATCTAAGCCGCTTATACCACTACCTCCAGGTAGAAGGGGTTGCCGCTAACAACTGGTTGTATCCCCTTCCTTCAAAAGGGATCCTGGTAAGGGATAGACGAAATTCTGAACAACCTATTCACCGAATCTCACATGAAATCGGCAAGCCCCATCTTCAAAATAGGCAATGACAATCAGCTACCTAGGGCAATAAACAGATTATTTCGTTTTGAAACAGTACACATGACTTTCCGATTAGTTTCACATAAAATTATCGTCGCTCTTTTCCAGGTGGGACGGTGTACGAGATATCCACATATGGCTTTGGGAAATGGGACATGATTTCTCATCGGCTATACAGTCCTTCAATGTCGGTACAAATACATTTGCTAAAAAGTGAGTAAATTCCATAGTACCTGTCTCTTTTGCTACCATTTGGTTTTCGCCTTTCCTTCGAAGTTTTGCTGTTCATTTTTATAATGAGAGTGGAAACAGATGAAAAAGTTCTGTAGTAATGGTGAGTTCGTAGGGAACTCGTAGTCGGTTGAGTTATAGAGGTGTTTCTTTCAATTCATTTTTGGGGGGCTACAGTTCAAGTCACAGCGCGGAAAAATCGATATGAGCAGTCCGACGAAAATGTCTAGAGCAAGAAAAACTAGCGGATCTAAGAAGAGCATTACTTTTAATCACGCGATATAATTTTATCACATATTGCATAGTATATCATAATAGACAACAAGAATTCATGATAGCTTCGAATTGATTGAATGTTTTTGAAATGTTATAAACATGCTTATGTGCCCACCAGCTAATGAGACCTCAATTCCCAGCTCCGTCGCTCACAAATTCCGTGTCCTTATAGGTCTTCTGATGTGTCCACTCTGTGAAAAAATCCTTTTTCAAAGGGTACGGTTATTAAAATGCCGAATTTAGCCATATCTTCCGTCGACTCCGATGGCTTAATAGCAAACCTGGCGCTCACCTCGTCACATTGGGCTACCTCGCAATTTGGCATGGATATCACCTTGGCTACTTCTTCCTATTCTTCTTTGAATTCGGCTGTGTGGTCGCTCAGGAACAGGTACGTATGTACATAGTTGTAAACGGAATTATTCGCTGTTGCCCAATGTCGGCTTAAGTGATCTCTCGGAGTATCTGAATCGAAGTAACGGCTAACGCACATACTTTCATTGTATTTTTCAGTTGTATTCACTAATTGACCGTACTCCTGGTTGGGCGGAGTTCAATGCAAAGCCAGCAGTCCGTCCATTTATCTGGCTGTTTGGTCGACTCACAGTAATGTATAGCATGGGATTTGGTTTCCTATGCTTTGGACTTGTGAAAACGAAATACTGGATTGGAGTGAGTTTTTTCGTCTCAAACGTTCCTGGATTATATTTCAAACCACTTTTCATACCATCTCTAATGGACGTGTAAAGTATTCTAGAGGATATAAGTAGGCGTGAAATGGGAGCGATCATAGTCGTCGTGAAATGAGAGAAACTGGCTCCTGATTGAGGATTTCATGAGGGTGCTTTTGCTAGTTCCAAAGATCGAGTAGCTTTATTTCGTTTTCATATTAAATTTGTTTTAAAAGTGAAGAACATCGAGTGAAGGTGATGTGCTTGCTCAGAAACTTCTTTGGGAGGAGTATGCCGTGGCCCAGTTGAAAACATGGTGGGAAGTACGCTAGAAACCTCACTTCATGCTTTCTTTCATTACCCCTGCCTCTATGAGTCACACAGAAGGAGGTAGTTGACCATCACATGCTGACGAGTAGCTGGCATCAATAGAAGCCATAATCGTACCTTTTTCTAGGATTTCTACGTAATAAGAGACATTAGGAATGGGGGAATTCTCGAATCTGTTAATGTACGGTACAACAAAATCATGACAGCCAGCAGCAGATACTAACAGATACTAGGTCATGTCAGATAGTAACAGATAACGAAGCTGGCTGTGATCATGTCCTACCAATTGATTGTACATATATTGTATGATTGAATTCAAAGTGAAAAAAGGGAGGTGGACCTCTTTGATGGGTGCAGTAAAAAATGGGAAGGTAGTGGAAGTATCCAGAAAGAAGATCAGTTATGAAGGAATTTTTTGGTGAATCCCCAGAATCCCCACGACAATCCTCATTCACTCTTCTGCATAAGCGAATAAAGTTGTTCTGATCATCCAAACAATCTGCTCCTGAAGTAGGAGTGATCACTGAACAATAGGATCATATTAGAAAGGCCAAGTAGTGATTGCTTGAGCAATTACGAGCGAAGAAAATGATATGCTTTGAAACTGTAGAAAAAAAAGTAAAAATTTTCATCCATCAGTTTCTTATTAGAAATCTCAAGACGAAGAGGGTAAAGGTATCAAACAGTGTTGGAGCTTTGAAGGCAAAGTCCTGTTTGTGATAGTTATGAGAATTCGAAATCTGGTGTATTGCGATACTTGCTTTCAGCTTCTGTGACTTTGTAATCTGGTGGATGCGGTGCAAACCCCTTGAAACTATCCTTAAATTTATGAAAAACTAAGGAGTCTCTCTAGAGTGAAAGTTGGACTTTCGATAAAAGGCAGTCTTTTGGGTAAATCAATCCCTTTTTGGGATGGGCCACGCATTCAGCTTCCATTAAAAATCGTAGCGTCGAGTTCAGTCATGAACAAGTCACTGCTTTACCCTCCCATACGAATCTGTGGAACTATTTGAAAGTCCTTATATTTCGGAGTTCGCAATAATTCATGCTCATCAAGCTCTTTTTCAGCCTCTCAAATCGCTGTATTTCATTGGTTTTCTAATTTTCTTCGTCATATGGCCTATTGTGCATTACGTACTGAAGCGAACGTTACCGAAAAAACCAAAGGCTGTCCAGGAGAAAGTGGAGAACTCAGCTCCGACAAATGGAGTATCGAAGAAAGAATTATAGTTAGATGGTCCTGTGTTCCGTGATGTGATACCCAGATGAAATTATAATCTCTGCTACCTTAAATCTATCCCATTATCGTTGTTTCAATGTAATTAAATCGAATGAGGTGAATTTTTCTTCCATAGCAGTGTTCCTGTTGAAATAGTTCTTAATATTAGTAAGGAATTTGATGTCAGTGTACGTGGTCTACGTTGTTCCTCATACTCGTGAATACTTTAACGTCTCGATATCGGTTATCTCTACCGAATCCTGATAGACTGTTTGCATTTTTTGTTTATTTATTTTTTTTTNTTTTTTTTTGTTTTACGATGTCGTCAAGCTTGTCGTTGCAATGGACTGCTAGACTACCTAGCTGCTTTACAATAGGGGCTAGGAAACATCGTAACTCGGATGTTGAAGATGTTCAATAATTAATTATTGTTAATTAACATAAATAGTTTCTGGTTCCATTGTGATGTCCTTCACGTCTTTCCTTTTCCCTTGTCTGTTTTTCTCTCGAAATGCAAAATTGAGGAAAAATAAGGGTCCTCCTCTATGTCTTACTGAAGAAGTGATCTAAACAGCTAAACATTGTATTGATAGGGATGATACTCGGCCATACTACTTGATGAGAATGTACCGTAGCCAAGCAGAAGTATGGCCTGGGAATGAAAATCCTGAAAAGAAGGAAATTCGGGTCAGTAAACGGTACCGTAGAGAAAGATTGTACGTAGGGTTATCCAAAGAATTTTTCAAAAAGCAAAAAAAAAAGTCTGAAGGATTTCAGTGTAGCTCCCTTCCAATCCCACGCTCGGTGAGTGGTTCCTTACTAAGGTCTGAAGTACAGCTCGTATCGAAATGCACCTGACTCACTTCACTATCCCCAACCAATATGACCTTCAAAGTTCAGCACGATGGTCGTAGAGTACAGGACGTCGTATGATGTTGCTCGTGACGAACTATGATGTTATTTTCACGTTGTTTCCACATGTTTTGGATACTCAAAAAGTACTTAGGTCCGAAAGGCAAAGGAGCTGGTAAAACTCGTCTGGATCATCTTTTTAAAAAGATTTTCATGCGAATAACTTGCTCACAAGTCGATGGGTAGTCAAGTGTCCATACAGAAGGTTTCACCGGTTTATTTTGCATGTTTACCGGTGATTCTGCATATCGTCATGCTATTCTAAGAAATCGACAAAAATAATGGTTTGGAGGGGGGCCTGTTGGTGAATAGAACGAGGAAGTACCACAAAGAACACAAACATCTCGGCTGTTGGCAGCATATGCCAAGACATCGTCAATTTTTTTCATTCCTCATCTATCACTTCTGACGAATTCAAGCCATCGAGTCATTGTTGTGGTTGCTTGGTAGAAGGCGAAATAGGGGACAACGTTTGCGATAGTTTACTTAGTAAGGTAGTGATATTCAATATAAACCTAACAAATTTCCGGGAATTCAGCAGTGATTTTCAAGAGAGAGTAACGTACACAGATGTCGTTGACCCTACCCACTGAGTACTAGGTTCCGAGGGATTAGGTGAATCGGTGTTTTTGTTCCGACGTCACATCTTCTTTATGAAAGTAGTCAAGCGCCCGTTCATCCAGAAGTTGAGCCAAAAAAGCCTTCTGGAGTTAGGGTTTTTAAATCAAGTTCATGCTCAGGGAGGTCATGGCTGGCCATTTTACTTCTATTCAAATTCATTTGTGAAGGTGGAATACAACCCGTTGCATCGACTGACCCTCTACACATTCGTCTTCCCCTTGTCCTTCACAAGGCACTAAGTTGGACGAATTGCATTCAAAATGATTCACAACAAATCTGGATGAATTGTGTGAAGTATTCTCGAACAGGGCCCCTGCTTTATCCTTTTCACCTTTGTGCCATCGGAACAGGTTCGATAGGGCAGGGTTATTGAACGAGCGATCCAAAAACCGTTACTTATCACTCCGTACAGGTTGCGATATCGCACTTCAACGCAAGCATAGCCAGAAAATTTGATTTTCAGTCACTATTTACTTCTTCACATCTAAGAGTCTTTGGGACAAAAATGTGAATGATTGTACTATGAACCATCTGGAGAAAGAATAGCTCCGCCTATTGGTGATGCTGCCCTTGCTCGTCTCAGACATACTTAGCCTACACAGGAAGAAGCTATCTACTCCTTCCTTTTTTTGGTCTCTAGGCCTCCTTACGATAAAGTTATCAATTTTCAAGGCACTAGTAATTTGGTGAAGCTATCGTCCAGCATAGTTCGCTGCACGACCTCTGTTTTCTTCCCATTGCTTCACTCCCGCACCTCCTTTATGAGAGAAACATCATGAAGTGCGACTCGTAGCTGAAGAAAGTTGGAGTTTGGATGCTAACGTGTCACATGAGGTCGGCTCCTAAATGAACCTGAAACGAACTTGACCGGAGGTCATTCTTGTGCGAAGGTTTCATAGCAGTTGCTCATCCCACTGTTCGCATGTCATTTGTTTGATCGCTTCCTTTTAAGTCCATCGTAATAGTAACTTTAGGCTCACATGTTGTTTGTGGGTTCATACATATCCCTCCTACAGTAATTGACCATTCATTTTAATGCTCTGAATGAGCGTTTTCTATACAGAAGCCAGTACCGCCTAGCACCGCCCCACAAGGTTACCTCTAATTTTGTTGAGTATTGAGGAGAGCAACATTCTGTTGATGCTGGTAGATGAAGCTGCCTATACCGGCTGTGGTCAGTAAGAAAAGTCGTCTTATTTCTAAAGATGTGCTTGAACAAAGCCCACCACTTGATCTTAAAAAAGGCTCATGTCCCCCGGCGAACAGTCAGTTGTTTACTTTTTTATTTGTGCAGGTCACTTCTACTTTGTATTCTTTACTTTTACTTTCTTATTCAATAATCGCTCGATGTTCTGATCAAAGAGGTTACCATCGTTCACCCTGGGCTTAAACTATACTCTTTCCAGTCCGTGCTTCACTGAATACGGCTAGAAATCCCTCGACCTAACTTTCCGTCTTAGTTCTTTTTCCACGTATGTGACGTCCGCGTTGAATTCTTCTCATCACTTCAATTCAATCTTCAGAGACGAAACACTTCACAATGAATAAAACTCTTTGTTCAGCGTTGAAAACGTGTAGCAACCTTGAAAGTTCGTCGATCAATTGTCGTGTGGTCTTTTCTACATTCCATTTCTCTTTGAACCATGGTTTGATACGATAATTTCCACGATTCGTCGCTGCAAATTTAGTGATCAGCTGTCATGACCAATTAGTACTACTGGTTTAAAAAACGGCCTCCAGCGTTCAACAACCATCAAAAAAAGCCATTAGTCATATAAGAAGAGTGCTTCAATGGGTTGTACCGCTAGGAACTGCTCTATATTTTTAGGAGCAACTGCTAAAAAACACATAGGATATCCCCACTTGGGTTCCGTACCACAACAAATAGTCCATACGCAGGCCTATTGCTCAAGGCTATGATTTGAAAAGATAAAGCCTTCCGGTATTTATCAATCCCGTTTCTGGATGTGCCCTGCATTTGAGTTCCATTCAGAATCGCAGTGGTCTTTTGAATGCAGGTCTCTGCGGTCTATACAATAACTGGTAATAATTAGCCGAGTAAGTTAGTGTAAGTGTACAAGTAAGTTTCTATGCTCCAATGCCATCCATATCACGAGCACAGATTTCTATTGATTCTCTTAATTGTCCCGAATTCTCTTTCAAGTGTTATATACCATATCATTCCAGTGCGGAATTCGGCTCCGCCTATTAGTCGCGAAGAAAACTGTTCTCTGGGACGAGCCCATATAATCGTAACTGCATAAATTACCCGAGTAATGAAAAGCCTGTCCATCCAGGTTCGTAGAATGGTTTTCAGTTGCCAATGTGGATTCCAGTATATCAATCGACAATAATTATTATTCCTACTTAACTAACCCAGGTTGCGAGTGGAGCGGGTAAGGTGGGAGTGCTGCGGTGCTTTTCAACGAATTTCCACTGTAAGCGGCAATGGTTCCGCAGCGGTTATCGTATCTTTCCCCAGAGAAAAAACGATCGGGTGTGGGGAGGGCGACGCGAATTCGGGGAAAAGTACCCACATCCAAGCACTATATCACACGCACGGTCAGGGGTTCGAATCCTGGATCGATGCCCGCCTAGGCCAACCAAGCCTTCCATCCCTCCGGGGTCGGTGAATTGGTACCAGACTCGTCTGGGAGGATAAAAGCACTGACTTGTACATCGGCTGGCCACCGCAAGTCATTGTATAGGCCACATACGCACTCATTACGCCACTACGATTCTGAATGGAAGTCGAGTGCGGGGGCGCATCCCTCAGACGGGATTGATTAACGCCAAAAACTTTATCCTTTATCCTTTATCCAAGCTAGGAACGCGTGACCATCATACCAAAAGGTGAGACCCTCCAGGGCCTACGGTAAGGTTTTGGACTGGTTGAATGCCAGTACTCCTGTNTATTATTCCTACTTAACTAACCCAGCTTGTGAGTGGAGCGGGTAAGGTAGGAGAGCTGCGGTGCTTTTCAACGAACTTCCACTGTAAGCGGCAATGGTTCCGCGGCGGCTATCGTATCTTTCCACTGAGAAAAAACGATCGGGTGTGGGGAGCGCGACGCGAATTCGGGGAAAAGTACCCACATACAAGCTAGGAACGCGTGACCATCATACCAAAAGGTGAGACCCTCCAGGGCCTACGGTAAGGTTTTGGACTGGTTGAATGCCAGTACTCCTGTTTGGCAACACGCACGCATTCTTTCATTGAGTAACGAAAACGACCCAATTAAATTTTTGGAAGTGCAGTGCCTTGGACATTAGTCTAGCACTTCAAAGACCCAGGTAGTCCGAATTCTTGGTTTTAGGAATTGAAAAAGCGACCCAGGTAGTCCGAATTCTTGGTTTTAGGAATTGCGAAAGCATGTATCTTTTTCAGCAACCATGCGAGCGCGCATCACTCGTACTTAACAGTTTACAGTCGCAGTGTGTATGTGGAGCCTTTGTGGGGAGCACAAATGTTCAAAAAA